CAGCAAAAGATCTCCAAGGTGAACCTTAAGTTGGTATGAACTCCCAATTAAAGATGAAAAGTTGCAAGTGAAGAGCTTGAAGGCAACTTAACCAACCTTTGAAAAGGGCAGAAGATACGACACCTTTTGATAAGGGCAAAATAAGTCGTTAGAGCAACTATTGTGGTACTTTGTTTAGGGTATAATTGGTCTTAAGGGTTCCAGTATCAATTATCAATTATCCAAATGGTAGGTTACAATTTTCAGCATGTACCAAACTCTGGTAATACACAGAGAGACAAAGTGCTGTTGCTTGCACCAAGGGTTAAACACAACAGGAATATAACATTTCCTCAATATAACATGCTTAAAAAGCAACGCTACCCTGAACTAATAAATCCAATGAACCTAACTGACGGCTATTTGGGGTTGTATATATCACTGGGGAAAACTGTAATTTGGTTGGGTTTTTCGCCTGATTAATTTTATGTTATTTTGTCTCATTCTGTGTATGTTTTAGTTCTTCTTTATAGCCTATTCCATTTAGCAGGTGAGCATAACGTGTTTGTATATTGGCAATGTGGTTTCAGCAAATATGTGTGATTGTATTGTTGGCATCAATCAGTGCTTGTTGAGTGGTGTTGGATGGTTAAAATCAAGGCTTGAATTAATAAAAGTTTTGTCTCTCTCAGCTTAGGCCTAACATGTCCCTTGACGCAAGCAGCAGCAGTCTATAAACAAAATTAAGACAAACCTCTCTCCTTGCTTCCTTCTCTCAATCTTCTTGCTTATGGGACAAGTTTCTTCCTGGAAAGATAGAACGATTTTCGAGATAGTACTTGCTGATACTTAAACGCGTCTGTTTCATCCTCTCATATCATTAAAACGTTGATAAACAATGAAGCAGCGATTCTCAACATTCTTCTGTTTTGCTGTTAAATTTTGGTACGTATTTCATCTAGCTTTCCTAACTTTCTATAAAAGTCTGCTTGGATCCTTTACTGTTCATCATTGCTATTGCGTTTCCTTGTTTTAATGTTTTTAGCTAAATAGTTCCTTATTCTCTGATCAAAATGATTCTTGATATACAAATTAAAATTTAATAAACAACAACACAAGTAAAATGCTTTGTTATAAACTTTAAAAAAAAATTATTTTGAAAGCTGCAAAATTAATTGAGCCTTGCATTAATAGGCATAAGCCTTCTAAAGTAATATAAAGGCTGGGATTTTAAGAATGTCAATCCTTCAAAGAAAGGCTTTCCACGAACTTTGATCAATGTTAACAAAAAGCGCCAAAAATAAAGGACTCATTGTCCTGATCGAAAAGTTTAATACTTATTTTGGCAGAATCTTCACCCTGCACATTCTTGAGTGTTGAAAGATTTTGCCCTTGTGAATTGACTGAAATAATAGATCAATGTGACTTTGCTGCGATAATATTCCATTCACAGAAACAATAGATCATGTAATTTGTCAGAGGTATTAGTTTCTGACAAGGAACAACTTTTGACCAAAGGGAACGTTATTTCTGCAAAATGTTTTATACCACTGTGTTTTAAGCTTCAGCTTTCTCATTCGAAATTAGATACTAAAAAATAAATGAATAGTTTACAGCCACTGAAACATAGTTCAATTATTATGGGTAGAAAAATACGTAAGGGGAAACATCTTTTTTTAAAAAAGCAGATCAAATTCACGGGTAACGGGTTGTTTTCCAACTTTGAGAATGTCCTCACCTTTTTCTTACATGTGCCCACTACTGTTTCTAATGATAAGTATACATTCTAAAAATAAATTTTATGTTTGTAATTTTAGAGAATAAGTGCAAAGCTGGATGTAGAAAATGCATTGGTTGCTTTAATCTTTTACATTCAACATGTAACAGACATCTACACAAAGGAAGAGCTGTTCTAAGCACAAAACATTAAGTTTGTATTCACCTGTTTTTATCTTGTCAAACCTCTGTTTACATCTGTGTATTATATAGTTTGGCAATATATGAGATTTTTGTCTATCTGCTCAAGTGCTTTTTCGTAGTTTTTTGATAGTTTCACCTTTTCCCAAAGTTTTGCTGGTGAATGTGCTCTCTCGATTGTTTTCATATATAAATAGGCAGACACCGTGTTAAAATAGAGTAGAATATAATAATAAAAAAGTAAAAAAGCAGTTTGTCAATGTCACTCCTCCTTAACGAATTCCATCTTTTCTAACTTTAATGAAGGTATTTCTAAAATTTTATCTTTAAAATCTTCTTGGATTTTTATTTTCTCCTATCTAGAAACAAAGCTTAGAGCAGGAAATAGTATTACTTCAGTGCTACAACTGTTTCCATCTGAGTGCAATAAATGGTTTTAAAAACAAGAAAAGCAGCACAGTTTCAATCTTTTTTCAATCAGAAAATTAAAATGTGAGAGATTATAAAGCTTGATTTGTGCTCAATGGAACAAGCCTTGGTAAATAAAAAATAGATGAATAAATTCCCCTTTGTGTTTTCAAATAATAAAGCCTTTAAATGCTCACAGATCAACATACCATCATGCTCTCTAACAGTTTGCGTATCTGCTATTTGCAAGAGGACATGACTCTTGTTACAGAGCCCTGTAAGGCTGTATTCATTTCGACAGAATGTCTTTGTTTCAGTTCTGAAATGATACAAGCCAGATTTCTATAATAAATTACCTTAGATCAGCAATTATAAAATAAGCAACTTTCATTGAGAAAAATGAAAATATAGATGAAATCTAATCTTTCATCAAAAATTATGCAAAACTAGTTCTTTATTAATTGATATCAATAACTACTATCTGGCATTAGCTAATAAGCTTGGGAAAGATTTTTGTCATGGTGCAAACACATTTCCTAAAAACTCAGGTGTTTGAAACCTTGAAACATATCAAACGTTCTGCCAAAAGTACCCAAAGTGCCAGGCTGTTAAAACCTAATTTTCAAAAACCTTGGCATGGTTAGAAAAATATAAAACATTGTTCAGAGTTTGGTAGTTGGGAATTTTTTTCCTTTGTGTTCCTTTGTGGCTTGGGAGTTGGCTTTTTCTAGATACTTTGCTCAATTTTCCATTTAATCAAATAGCAATGAAAATGAGAAACCATACTTGTTTTGAAAGAGCAAAACTCCCTTGTCAATCAGCTGCCAAATGACCTAGGGTAAGAAAAAAGAAGATTGTTGATATTTATCTTATGCAAGAAAACTTACACTTGTGGTTGTCTGTGAGATTTATCATGGAACACTTAAACTGTGTCATCAGCACTGCTTTATTCAAAAGTCAAAAAGACCAGTTGAATACTTTTCCTCTGTTGTATGGTTTAGCCAATAGAGACAGGTAGGCGAAAAAAATAATCTTCTGTGGCTGCAATGTTAGGTTCATGTCAAGTTCATCCAGTATTGACCACAGTTTTAAGTAGAAAATCTATATATAAATCAAGGTTTTCAAGATTTGCAAGTGCTGTGGGGTTCAGGGGTGCCAAAAATTAATCATCTTTGCATCACAATAAAAGACAATGGAACACGTGCTAAACTGCAAAAAAAATGCATAGCAGTCTTAAAAACAAATTTGCCAGACTTTTTCCCAACTTGCTCAGCATCATCACTATACTAGAAGACCTTGTTGAAATATGCCTTTACTCTTTTGTACTGCAAAGCATCCTTTATCTTTAGGCCAGACTGTCATTGTCAAAGTGTGCCCTTCTCTGTGATTCCCTTACAATTGAGTGAGACTGCTTTTAAATTTTTCTCCAACAGGCATATCCCACAAATGGTGCTAAGCTGGTGCCCAGGTGGGTTGAAATTTTTTCAGGGCCATTTGCTTTCTTCATAGCACTACACCCCAGTGTATGGAAACTTTTGCTTCTTTATTGTTATTGTTTTTTTCCTACACAATGTATTTTTAACTCTAAATTTTGTTGCTTTCTATAACATAACTGCTGTAATACCACATCATGGAGTTCAAAAGCATAACTGAATCTGAATCTGCCTGGGACAGTTTTCTGGTTTTAAAAAGTGAGATTTTTACTAATATTTCATTATCTTTTACATTGGCTACATTTTTAGTCTTTTTTTCCACTGCTTTTTTGATGTTTTGTTCTGATCTTTAGTTTATAAGTGGCAATTTTTTTGCTGTTTACATTCAAAGTTAGGTTGTCATTGGAAAAAACACCACAACCTGGAAAAACATTTTCATTCTATCATGTATCCATCAGGGCCTTGCAAGATAACATTTATGTTGGGTCGTTATCAAAGCAAAGCTTCTTATAACATTTTTGAAATAATTTAAGGTTTATGTAATATTCAAATATATTGTAATTAACTTGCTAATGCTGATGGCAAAATTATTCGACTTTGATTCACGTGTTTTGCTGTTTCGTTGTCGCAAGCCCTATAGGCCAGATATACCTTAAATGACAAAATTGCTTTCATAGCCGTAGCCACACTTACAGTATTCGTGCTGCTCTTTCTATAGTGAAGACTTTCGCTTTAATCTCCCAACTGGACTTTTGCTCTTTGGGATACTTTGCACCTTAAAATTTGAAAGTTTCAATGGGCGCTTAGTTTTCCCACGAGTTCGTGTGATTGGGACCAAGAGCTCGCCTCTACTGCTTTTCTAATTTGGCGTTGTTGTCAATGCGTTTATTCCAAGTCCTACTCGTGGCTTGAACTCTCAGATTAACACTAAAGAAAATATTTGGATGTAATCGAAAAACAGAACAGTTTGATATGCAAATTTCTTTCTACGTTTCTGCGGCGAGAACTACCAGAGAATCAATGGGCACCTTAAGAAAAAAGAACTGTACAACTTGGGCCTAGATAGCTCAGGACCGTCGAGAGGGGGGGGTAACCAGGGTAGTTACCAGGGGGCCCGGGGCCTTGAGGGGCCCGTAGAAAATAAGGTATGTATTTTTGGCTATGAGTTTTCAATTAGCAGCATTAGCAGAGCGGGCCCATGACCCGATTGATATTCGAAATTTAATCTTTCAACATGGGATCAACATACTGGTCTATGATGAGGGCCTTTTCTTGTTAAGGTTTATAATTAAAATATTGACGATACGATCATAACATACTTCTCCGGAAGCCGAAAAATTCGATTGCACTCACATATATCTACTTTTAGGTCAAATGTTTTAGTTCTTTCTTGTGTTGACTTCTTATAAACATAAAAGTAAATCTTCCATTCACGGCGTACACCAGAGAAGAAGCACATGCGAAGAACCATAACAAATCCAAACGCTATAAAAGTCTTAACCAAAATCACAAAGCGGGATCACGATCCAACCAACCCCTGCGATGTCATCTTACATCGGCCCGGCCTTTTACAGTCCATCTAACTGCATTGCTAAGGGCGTAACCCAAAAAAGGTTTTTTCAGCCTTCGACGGTGGGGCCCCATGACAGTCCCAGCCCTGGGGCCCGGCCCGTCTCTCGACGGCCCTGCTTTGCTGTCTTAGGTCAATAACTTTTCTCATTTTGCTTTATTCTAGACAAAGGCTCTTTCAGCTGCACAAATCGAGAAATCAATTGAGAAGGAACTTTTGGAAAGACTAAAGAAGGGAACAGTAAGTAACAATCTGTTTTGTCTCACAAAATTTGTGTTTCACTGTTTAGAATTCCAGGGCAAGGGCACTATGGTTTTAACTCGACAAGTTTGGTTTAAGATATTCTATTTATTACCCTCATTGTGTTTATTTGTAATGTTCACTTAATAAGCGCATACAAATTTGAAATATGCACGAAAAAGAAAATCATATTAAAATTTAAACAAAGTACCCTTTTCTATATAACCTATCTATAAAGCTAGAAGACCTGAACCAGTAAATATATGAAAACTGCTTTATAGTCACACAATTGATTATATAACACGATTTGAAGATAAATTGCTTTAATTCATCAGATTTATAGACTTCTTATTTGACAAATACATGCAGATATATAATGACAATGTAATATTTTCTTTCCATCAAATCATACTTTATCTTGCAGTATGGTGACATCTACAATTTCCCCTCAACTGCGTTCGATAAAGCTCTAGATGAAGAAGAACTTGAGTCCGATCACGGGGAAGCTGAGGTTAGGCCAAAAAATACTTATTCAATGCCACTCTGCTTAGCTGTTACATATCTAAGCATAACCTAACCACTTTTAGGTCAACAATTTAGTCAAATCTTGATAGAAAACCAATCATGCACTGTAATATTTCCCTAACTAAGGATTTCTGTTGCATCAACATTTTCTTAAGTGGCTGAGAAAGTACCCGTTTACAAGTCGACAATTATTTCTTTTTTGTGTTTAGCTTCGAGACAGTATGATTGCAGTTTTGTTAGCTTTTATTTTTTCTTTTTGTGCTACCTCAGTTTGTTGTTAAATAATTAATGTATAATTCATACCTTGTGTTATTTTAACAGTATGAAGACTTGGAAGTTGAAGAAGAAGAGGTTAGTTTGCTAAATTATTGAACTTAATTAATTATGTAATTTTCGAGATCTCAATGCTTTGTAGCTTGTAATTTATTTTGCAAAGCAAAGGTGGCCGGAATAGTTGCAATGTGTACCAGTGTTAATGTATTGTCTTTAGGTAAAGGGTTAGCGTCAAAAGTCGATAGCATGAATCAAAGAGTAGGTGGGGCAAATAGTTATGCGTGTAATGTTTAGGGAATATTTCAGCGTTGCCGTTTAAAATGTCTTTATCATTTATATTTTC